ATAGTCAACAGGAGTGGAGCTGCAATGAAAAATATTACTAAAACGAGAAAAAAATTGCACAGGCGTAGTTTCGCGAGTCAGCTAGTAATTAATAAAATTAAAACAGTTATTCTATTTATAAAAGAAACCGTCAAAATCTCTTCTCAGTCTAATACGCTTGGTCATTAGAGGAGGCAGATAATTTAATATGTATTTTTAATAGTAAACAGGCTGACGATCCACCTGGTGGTAATTAGTAACCGTTGCTTTTAGGGGGGAAAGGTTTAGTAATGTGGATTGATTATCTTATTGCTAGCAATGTACCATTTCAGGTTGACCTCCACGAGGTTCCCCCTGGAAACCATCGTGATAAATTCTTGGTGAATTTGTCACGATGGGCTAACTGACCTGACCTCATGTTCCTCTTATCGTCCTCCACTGGCGCTCCGCCAGCGTAAACCGCTAGCTCAGGCAGGTGCAACATTCCATTATCATCACAAAAATAAACCGTTGCGTATACATATACATGAACAGCACCACAGAAATCACGTTATCATGTGACTCTCGTGCTAGCATCCAAAGACAATAGGTGCTAGTATGGCGTAGCAGGCACTCATGCCATTTAGGAGGACTAAGATGTTATTAATGATGATATTATGAGGTTTAAGTTTAAATTTATTGACTTTAGAATCGAAATATATCTTACAAAGCAACCTACTTGTCGGTTGAAATAGGTGCGACTTTGGTACTTTCGTACAAAATCTAAAAAAAAAAAGTAGTAACCATTAAATAATAATAACCCAGGACAATTCATACAGCGTCATCCATTCCTAAGCTAAGCAGAGCTTGTGTTGTGGGTATTAGATAACTGATATAAATAAATAAATATTTTATATGTAAATACATATTATACAACCGGACCAATATAAATTACAATTACTTTGTACCGTGCGAGGAATCGAACCCACGACTATTGGAATTAAAGTGGACAGCTAGACCACCGGTCTATTTATTTATCGAAATGATCCATGAAATAACTCTAATATACTAATCTTAATCAAGTGCTATAGTGTATACAATAACAAGATTTTTTATTGTAATCCAATTTCTAACAAGACAATAGAACAACTAGACATTGACTAATCAATATTTATTGCGAAAGTTTCTGCTATAAATCCTGTGTGAAATGAAGAATTATGAGATCATTTCTTCTCGGGATATAAACGTGATAATATTTCCTTCAATGTTATGAAAAATGCATTTTCCTCGTCTCAAAAATGTACAGGTTCTTTATATTCGCATTATTATGTAGATGGGTAGTTGTGGTGCTTATAAATATGTGTTCCGTATATACATACAAATATTATACCGCCTCGGTAGTCTAGCGGTTTAGTACATCGCCTTACTTCCGATGGCCGCTGGTTCGATTCCTCGCACGGCACAAACATTTGTATTCATACTCATGAATGCTTTGTATCGATCTGGGTGTTCTCTACGTATAATATGTATGTATTTATGACAAAAATATATCTATGTATTTTTATCAGTTGTACCCATATAAATGTATGTTGGACTCAGTCTCCGCAATTAGCCTCTCATTCAGGCCGTTGTGCGTGCAGAGCCAGACTACTAAAGTAGCCAGCCAAGCTCCTCCCAAAAGCGCAGAAGACTCCTGGTGTCTTCACAGGCTTCACGGAGCGACCTCACCGTTCCGAGGATTTGTTTTCATTGTTGAGCCACTGCCGTGCACTCCAGGATTACGTGAGCCGCCGTTTCTTCAGCTTCAAAGCAGTCCCGACAAAGGGGACTGTCTGTAGCATCAATTGTGTATAGGTGTTTGTTTAAGGAACAATGGCCCGTTATTGTCCCTATCATTATTTTAAGGTTATGCCTATCTATGTAGATTAATTAGACGTGTTGTTAATCGATGGTTCGTTTTTGGAATTGCCACTTTAGATTGTTTGCAATCAGTGAAGGTTCCATCTTTGGTTTTGTATTTCGGTGGATCTCTGGCGAATCCAGGTGCGAAGTCGGCATAAGCGGGAGGGGGCCTCCAACCACCATGCCAGATCCTATTCTCGCTAGTTCGTCCGCGGCGTCATTGCCATAAGTTCCACTGTGCCCCTTTATCCACTGGATAATTACTCCATTGTGCGTTGCAATTTTTTCCAAGGCGATGTGGCACTCGATTATTAATTTGCTGTTGGATTTTCTGTTCTGTAGTGCTTTAAGCACGGCTGCACTGTCCGATATGAATTTAATGTTGAAATTGTTGACCCCTAACCTGTACACGGCTGGTGCTGCCTCGGTCAGGGCAACACATTCGCACTGAAAGATCGAACTGTGCTTGCCGAGCGGTATAAATATGTTCATGTCGAGGTCGAGGGAATGTGCTCCAGCTCCTGAACCGTTCTGTGTTTTGGAGCCATCTGTGTATATGCGTAGTTCATTTACTGCAGATTGGTCCCTTGTCTCCTCCTTCAATTGTATTTGGTATTTCCTGTTGAATGAGTGGTATGTTTGAGTTCTATCACACGGAGCGGCAATCAAGGGTTCATATTCGATTGCTTGGTTGCTTAGTTGTACCCATAACACAAGCTTTAGCTTAACTTGGGTCTAGCCTAGTCTAACGGATGTTAACGAAATTTCACGTGTAGATAGATTCTGTGACAGGTAGAAATGAAGGCTGACTTTTATGTTAAAAAAACTGTAGAACTCGCGTAAAGAAGCTATTTTTATTATGATAAATATTGTACCTTTAAAATAGTACAAGACGAGTATAAAGGTACCAGTAGAGGTTAATAAGATGAACATGAGGTCAAGCCAGTTAGCTCATCGTGACAAGTTCACAAGAACAATCATCCCCATGGTTTCCAGGGAGAACAGCGTGGAGATCAACTTAACATGGTGCATTGCTATCAATGTGGTCATTGGTCCATAGTACTAACAATCCATTTTCATTCGAAGGATCAGTGTCATGCCTTTGAATCTTGTAATTTCACTGCTAGATCTTATTCTTCCTCCAAAACCGAAACATATCTTGTAAATCAAGCTGCTTAGCGGCCGAAATAGGTAATACCTACGCAGAAGAGTGCATACAAAGCCTAGGTATGTAAATATAAATAAACATAGAAATAAACTGTTTGTTCATAGATGATACCCAAGCAGAAGAGTATACCACCTACTCGGTCTACCTCGGGATATAGATAAATAAAAATGGAAACAAGCTTTTTGATCATAACGCTTTTAATTAAAAACGTAATAATTTATCACGAAAAGCAATATTATGAAGGTAGGCATACAAAAACGTATTTGACAAACAATAAATACTTAATTTACATTATAGTAACACAAAATATAAATTACAGTACAAAATCATTGTTTTACATACATTGACTTAAATAAAATACTTTATTTTTATCATTATTAAATTTACATGACGATTTTCTAAATATAAAAAGTACACATAAATATGTTTACAGGTTATAATGGAAGCAGTATAATATTATGAAGTCGGGAAATGGTAAATTAATAAATGAGATAAATATATATATACTAGTTGTGCCCGCGGTTTCAACCGCATGAAATTTATGGCCTATATGTTATTCTGATGTATAAGCTATATTACTGTATAATTTCATCAAAATCCTTTCTGTAGTTTTTGCGTGAAAGAGTAACAAATATCCATCCATACTCAGGAACTTTAACATTAATAATTAATATATATTTGTCTCATTTATTAATCTAAAATTAATAGTTTAAACAAAATTTTCACGTAACTGGATATTCTTCATACAGGCCTTTATAATGACCTAGTAAGGACACTAGAGACATTACGTAATTTAAACTCAACTCAAATTCTAATAACTCACTAAGAAATGGAAGAATAAATCATAGGGGACCAACGAGCTTGCGGCTCACCTTATGGTAAGTGATTACTGCCACCCATGAACACCTACAACACCTGGTGAATTGTAAGTGAGGTGAATTTTAAGAAAGAATAAGCTCTTTTCTTGAAAGTTTCTATTTCGTATTGGTTCGGAAATACGATTGCTAGAAAGCGATTTCACAATGTGTGTGGCAGATATAATCTAAGAGTTCTTTTTCTTGAACACTAGGTTCAGGCTACAATGTTATGCCATTTCCATTACACTCTATATAAATAATTGAATTAATTTAATCTATTCTAATAAATAATTTGGTACTTGGCAAGTTTAGATAATATAAAAAATATATTATTAATATTAATTTGATAATTTTTCAAACACACAAAATTAAGTATTTCTAAAATACAATTCGTATAAAAGTACTAAAATCAAGGCACATAGTGATTTTTATAATAAATAGAAATTATTACTCAGTCACGTGTTCTTATTAAATTATCACCGAAATTGTACAAAAATACGTCTTAAAATACGAAAAATTCTTAACTATAAATCTATACGCATTTAATATTAAACACTTTTATTATCTTTATTTATTAAATAAAAACTACACATATATGAAAATCTATTTTGAAGTAATTAATTTTAATATGTATAATTTTAAATGTAAACATTTAAATAAATTACTACAAAATAGAAATTAAATTGACTTGATAAATAGCTAAATCAGTCATGAACTGTATTAATTCAGTCCAATTCAATTAATTATCACCAATGTACCTCTCATCTCAAATATTTTACTAAAATTATTTAAAAAATTCGTGAATATTTTAGTCCCTTTCTAAACGCTCTAAATTTTTAATTCAATTTATGTCATAATAAACTAATAATACGGCTTTAAGAAATTACACGGCTACTGGCTCTAAATATTATACACACAGCTATATGTAAAATTATATATATAATAGTATTTGGCTATAGCATCCTTATGCTAAAACCAAATTCGAAAAAATCTAAGTTTCTAAATTTCTACAAAACAAAAATAAGTCTAAATAACCCTGTAACATCAGGGTTTTTTCATTAAAAGCATCTCTGATCGCGGTACCAATGTCAAATTCACTCATTTGACTTCCACGGCCTTGTGTGGGGATAAAATGTTAAAATTAAGTTATTCTCCTTCTTCTTTACCTAACGTGATAAGGTGATTTACACTTCTAATTTCTTCTTTTTTTTATAGAGCTGAATTATTGTCACAGAACTAATTGATAAAAAAACAACACTCTTCACAGGAAAGGCGATGAGTTCAGATCGCTTCAAAAAGCAATCACTTACAGATAATATGAGTTCTGTTCAAACATAGAAAGGGTGGTGCATGTAATTACTTATACACTTCATTCTACTTTCGTCTTCTTAATTTCTAATAACTTCAGTATATTCAAACACCAGAACATAGCCGACACTACGTAGAAGATCTGTAACATGGTGCCGAGACCAGGATTGGTAACAGCTACGCTTCTAGCAAGGAAGGCAAGCGCCGAACACCGAAGTACTTCCAGTAGAGAAGAATGCTTGGAGTTATCAAATAGCATGCCGATTACGGTTAAAGATGCGATAATGTAGAAAACGAAAATTAACACTGAGATTGGTGTCATGCCCTGCAAACAAAATAACATTTGTTAAATTTCATATTTAGTTTTTTAGGGAAGTAAAATAGGAAAGATAGTAGATATTAAAATCAATTGTATCTTAATAGGTGAGACTATTTAGTTAAAAGTTAATATAAGTTCTAAAATATAAGAATATGTTCCTTTTTAACTTGATGATTTTTTGATGAAGTTGAAGAGTCGATAATGCACTTTCCATCTATATATAACGTAAATACCTTTATTTACCATTAAAGTCCTGGTTAACATTATAATATACTAGCTACTCGCCCTGACTTCGCACGGGTATACATGTATTATATATATAAACCTTCCTCTTGAATAACTCTATCTATTAAAAAAACTGCTTCAAAATCCGTTGCGTAGTTTTAAAGCTTTAAGCGTACATAGGACAGACAGCGACAGCGACTTTATTTTATACTACGTAATGATATTTAATTTTATGTTATTAATAAAATTCGCATCTAATTATTTTTCGAAACAGTAGCTGTTGATAATATTATAATTTTTATTATTTATGCAATCAGTGAGCAAAATACTCAATTATATTTTCCCACGAGAGCGATACTTCAGTCTGAGTATAATGAATTAATTATTTATCAAATTAGGACTGTTTCTAATTTTTATAATAGTATTTTAATATCTCATACCTTAGAATATTAACTGCTTAACTAATTACTATTAAATTTTACAGGGTTTTTTACTTCAATCAACTAACTAAACTAGTTCCGTTTACGTGGATTAAATATTTGGTAGAAGCTATTCGATACTTGGAGCAAGGGGGTTGTTATTAATGTGGCCTGATAACTCAATTGCTATCAATTTACTATATCAGGTTGACCTGCTTGGAAACCATCATGATAAATTCGTGGTGAATTTGTCAGGATGGGCTAAATGATCTGACCTTATGTTTATTTCATCATCCTCACTGGTGCCCGGCCAGCGTAAACCGTTAGCGTACAATTTCATTTTTATCTAATAACAAATTATATACTGGTGATGTTAATTCTGAATGCTAATTATTTAATGTATTTTATGATATTTTCTATTGGTGAAGAAATTAGACCGTTATTGAGTCTACAACCATATTGCGACACGTATTTCGCCTCTGAACGAGGCATCATCAGGGATTGATTAGAGTTCGGATATAGCTTGGTAGCCTAGTGTCGATTGTTTGGCGACCAAACTGCAACTGTTCAGTGACGAATCAGATTTTCGACAAATACCATCTAATTCGATAAAATATAGCCATATTCAGGACAAAGTTTTCATGTCTTCATAGTCTACATAAGTCACGTTTCAAACCGGAAATCAAATCTTACAAGATTAATAGCCCGTCTAGGTTACGAATAAATCCTTACTAAAATTATAAATGTGAAAATAACTCTGTCTGTTTGTTTGTCTGCCTGTTAGTTAGTCTGTTTATCTCGCTTTCAGGCCATAACTACTGTACCGTTATAAATGAAATTTGGTATACAGATAGCCTGAGAAAGGATAAAGGCTACTTTTTAATGCGAAAACAGGGTTGAAAGTGGAGATTAAAGGTTGTATGGAAGTATCGTCATTTAAAGTCATCGACATTCAGTTTGTAGAAATGTTACCCTTAAGAGTTTAAAATAAAATAGAGGATGAAAGTTTGTATTGAAAATCGTCGTTTTTGAATCTAGAACAAAAAAAATTTTTCTTTGTCTTTTTTGGATTACTTAATGGTTTTTTTATTTGGTTAACGTCACTATAACACGCGGACGAGGTCGCGGGCACAGCTAGTAAATTATAATATAAATTTCATGAAAAAATATTATTTCTTGTAGGAGTAAAATCATTTGTCAAAATCAAACATCCAGGTGGATGTAGAGCTGTCAGTAATATAGGCATTGATAAATTGTTTATGTGGATCTTATTGAATCTGTCGATATCTTGATCCCTGGAGCGTATATACGGTTGGACTGAATGGAATGTCAATCTTATGTTATAGTTGATAAGGTATAAGTTAATATGTAATGGGTTTACGCGGAAATTAGCTATGCTCGAGACGTTTTTTACATTGAATGTAATGAAGCTGCGGAATATGTTTATCTTATCAGATTCTGGTGACGAGTGTGTTTCATAAATCATAATTTTTTTAATCCTGTAAACTACTTTTCAGGTAAAATAAAGATATTTGTATTTGTATTATATAACGGAATTGACGGCCTCGGTGGTCGAGTGGTTTAGTACATCGCCTTACTTCTGATTGTCGAGGGTTTGATTCCTCGCACGGTACAAAGATCATATTCATGAGTATCATACTCATGTTGTTTGTATCAGTCTGGGTATTTTCTAAGTATAATATGTATGTATTTACGAAAAAAAAGGTATTTGTATCAGTTATCTAGTACCCATAACACAAGCTTTACCTAGCTTAACTTGGCTCTAGATGGATCTGTGTGAATTGTGTTGAGATTATACATTATTATTATTATTATTATAATATAAGGTTTAAAGTTCAATTATATTTAAGACTGGGCGAAAGGACATTGTTTGTGATGTGGACTGATGACCCCCCGATCATGTTATGATGACCTCCACGCGATTCTCCCTGGCAACCATCCTGACAAATTCAAACTTATCACGATAAGCTAACGGACCTGACCTCATGCTCATCTGATCACCCTCCGCTGGTAACCTGTCAATGTAAAGTGTAGTGAAGGCGGGTGCACTTTTCCAATTCTTTACTTACTTCATTATATGTAAAATAAGGAAAATCGTGGGATATATATATAAAACACTAGCTGTCCCGTCAAACGTTGTTTTGCCATATAAATTAATAACGCTATTAAAAAATAGGGGTTGATGATAGAACAATAGAAAAAAATAGAAACTAAAAATTTTGTCTAAAAAATAAAAACATTTAGGGGGATGAAAAATAGATGTCGGCCGATTCTCAGACCTACTCAATACGCTCACAAAATTTCATGAGAATCGGTCAAGTCGTTTCGGAGGAGTATGGGAACGAAAATTGTGACACGAGAATTTTATATATAAGATAATATCACAAGACCAGCGATATCTAGTCCCAAGCCGAGCTTAACTTGAAACTACACTCTGTGAGTTGCACAGGTTATTATAATTATTATTTAAATTTCTTCCATGATATGCTTTATCGTCTAGTGAAGCTGTAAAGGCCAGCTGCGGCCAACAGCATTAGAGTAGACCGAAATGAAAAAATACTTATTTCATTTATGTAAAATTAAGAAAATCATGGGACATATACAGAAAACATAATACCATAAGCGCTATCTAAGTCACCAATACCATCTAAGTTTTTTTTTTGTAATTATTCATGTAGGACATTTTAGCCGCTTATGAACGTAAAATTTTTATATTATAATTTTTTCCCTATGTAACCAACTGTGTCTCAGCTATGTCTCCAGGGTTATAATTATTATTTAAATTTCTTTTATAATATTGTACTTACCATGTATTTGGCGGACAACTCGAAGAATCCATATAATACCACGGAGTAATGTAATATTAAATATATGTTACACCAGGCAGGCAAATGGACATCGAACTTCTCACGAAATTGAACCTGAATAAAAATTAATGTTAAAAATTAATCTTACATTACATTTTTATTTATTATTAAAAATATATATTTCGACACTATGAAAAGGAAAGAATTAATTGTTACTTTGTATGCAATAAAAAGGTTCCAAAAAGGTCCAGTAGGGACTGATTTGAAATAATTTTTTACCATTAGAATCCTACAATATTCTTGTTAAACAAAGACGATGGAATATATTTCGATTTCTATATTGATTGTCACATGCCTAATCCTTGTTAATATAAATCTACTTAAAACAACATTTATTTAAAAGAGCAACAGCAAATAGTTGTAGGTTTATTTAGTTTAGTAGGTAGTGGTTCCTATGGAAACTTAAAACAATGTATAAAAATTGCGAAATATTTGAAGAAAGACAAAAGAGTAAAGAGATATACTACATTTTTACAAAAGATATTAATGTTGAAGGGTGTACATATGTGTGTGTGAAAATTTAAAATTTTAATATTTTTTTAGCTCGTCTGTAGCTGTGGAGGATCTGTAGTATGAATGAAACATATTTTTAGGGGGGGGGGGGGAAGGGATTGTTACATGTCAGATTGACCTCCACGCGGTTCCCCTGGAAACCATCGTTAAAAATTCCCGGTGAATTTATCATTATGCGCTAACTGACCTGACCTCATGCTCATCTTATCATCCTGCACTGATGCCCTGCCAGCGTAAACCGTTAGAGCAGGCGGGCGTACCATTCCATTATCATCAATTAAAAAATATAATTTTGTATTAAATCTAGTAACATAATATTAACATATATAATATCAATATGTAAGTCAACCTGATAATATTAGATAATGTATTTTTAGACAACTAGTAGGCAGCATCTCGTAAAGATCATTTCCCATGAGACTTATATAAGACCCTTTCTAAGTGAATATTTAAGTCGAGCAAGGAACTCGTGAGTAAAATTACAAGTTTTTGGAAACTGTAGTTAAAGCTACGGGTTATACTCGTATCACGTTATGTGTAACATAAATACAAACATGTTGCCCAAGTGTAATCAGCAATGAAAACTTTTGTACTTCACAATGTATTTATATATTTATTTTCCACTAGATATTTCTCGCGATTTTGTATGTTTATTTTTAGAAAACAATGATTGTGTTACATCGACATTCTTTTATAATATTTCTATACTACGATTGTTCTATCAAATAAACAGATACTCATACACTTTAGCTGTACATATTCAAAGATGTACATACTAATATTGGTAAATCGAAAGTGTGACTGTCCGTCTATTTGTTAGTGTTTGTTGGAATATTGCAAATTATAGTAAATAAAAAAAATATGAGTCGTTTTACACAATAAATATCTTTATTGGTGACGCTGGAATAATCATAATAATATCTCCAGACCACATAGCGCTATCTACATAGTCCTAAGCTAAACAGAGCTTGTATTCAGGATTCATAATGGATTATTACTTTGGTAGATATACATATTTTTTACATACATACATGGTATACATAAGTAACATCCAAACCAATACAAACCATCGTACTCCTGTTTGTATCGTGCGAGAATAGGAATCCGCGACTATCGGAGATAAAGCGCTGTGCTAAGCTGCTACACTGGCGGCCGTCGAAATGGAAGATGCATGAGAAGTATGTGTATAAAATTTTATAAAAAGAAACAAAACAATACCGCCCTTCTAAGTTCATCGTTCCATTTTCAAAATGAATAATTTTATTTTTAAAAAACGTATTAGCCTATTTAAGATTGTCAACAGCCAGCAAGTTGTAGCAAACGAATTCGGGGGTAATAGTCAGTATATAAATAAAAAGAAATACGACGCTAAAATAAATGGTACAGAATTGTCTCCTATTTCCGGAGATCCTAAAAGGGTCACACCAATGACGTCACAACTTACTCTTTGTAGCATTTTCACTAAAATAAATTGATATCGTTAATAAAAAGAGACCTTTTCATCACCGTTCGTAATATATTACTAGGAGATGGGATAGTCAAAGCAGATATTTAATCATATTATGCACAATCAAGAAAGTGTTTTCTTATCTATACATATATACTCTACACATATAAATAAAATTTTACTACATGCATATGAATATAAATACGGTACATACACCAAAATAGCATTTTTACAATTTTTGTCTGTCTTTCTGTTTGTTTGTTTCTTCCGGCTAATCTCTGAAATGACTGGACCTATTTTGACGGGATTTTTATTGGCAGATAGCTGATGTAATAAGGAGTAAATTAGGCTGCTTTTATTTTAGAAAAAAAAATATTAATTTTAGAAAAATAACGTCCAATATCACGCGGGTGCTAGCTAGTCTTTTTATATATTTGACGACTTCGGTGATCTAGTGGATTAGCACACCGCCTACTTCTGATGATCTCAGGTTCGATTTCTCACACGTTGCAATCATTTGTATATATATTATGTACTTCAGTCTAACCTATTTCAGCCCTATTTTCAGATGTATAGGGTGCTATTAAACAGTAAATATATTGCAAAAGAGGTATGACATATTAATCCTCTGAAATATATAGTATCACGGGTAGTGATAACGTGATGTTATTAGTGCTGTTCATATATAAAAGTAACGGCTACCACTTTCTATCAGGCAGGCCATATGCTTGTTTTTATTCCAATAATATAAAATAACTATATAAAAAAATGGATAGTTTCAGCGTTTATAAATATACTAGCACTCCTTTTCGGGTTCCCATGGACGCATTACAAATCTTAGAATTTCTCAGCGTGTTCTATAACACGCATATATCTAAATATATATAACTCAAAGGTGACTGACATAGTGATGTATCAACGCACAGCCCAAACCGCTGGACGGCTCGGGCTGAAATTTGGCATGCAGATAGATGTTATGACGTAGGCATCCACTAAGAATTTTGATTAATTCTACCCCAAGGGGATAAAATATGAATATAAAACTTTGTCAATTTTAAAGCGATCGGGCTGAGACTTTGCATGCATAAAACTACTATGACGTAGGCATCCCCTAAGAAAGTAAACCAAAGTAAAGCCTCAAAAACTATACGTAATTAATAATCCCATCAAAAACATAAATGTGAAATGATAGCCGAGTTTAATATTATGATATATACCTTGATTGTTGACTTCTACGACAAAAGAGATGAGATCTAAATGGGTGCCAAGTTCAATGGTCTGTCCTGAAATGTATTTATAACAATATAAAATATCATTTCTTCTTATAACTTAGGATAATATACTGTAGCCTAAGGTCTAACTTGGCTAGTTTTCATATACGAAATATACTGTAGCCTTCGCAAGTTCTAAACATTTTTTCCTTTATATTTACCTAATTACCTATCTGCATGCCAAATTTGAACTTCCTAGGTCATCTGGAAGTGGGTTATAATTTTGATCTATAGTTGATCAGTGATAAAAATGACGATTTTTGGACATTAATATCTAAATAATCGTTTGAGATATGTTTATGAAATTTGGAACACATATTTATCTCACAAGTCTCAATATATGAACCAAATTTGACAGGTTTGTGTGAAAGAGTTTTTGAGTTATGAGGGGGTCAAAAGTGGCTCCAAATGGTTCGTGTAAATATACACACGGTGCTGCTTGCCAGTTTACTTGAAACTCGGCTTTGACACGCTACCGCGTGTCTAGATAATACTTCTTAACGCGAGCGAAGCCGTGGGCAAAAGCTAGTTATACATATAAACCTTCCTCTCGAATCACTGTATCTATTGCTGAAAACTACTTTCAAATCCGTTGCGTAATTTAAAACATATGTATGTGCAAACAGACCAACGGCGGCGATTTTGTTTTATACTATGTGAATATAAGCTAAAGTATAAATATCACTTGACGCAGTCGAGTAAAATATACAATTAAAATGTGTAACTGCGTTGTTAATCAAGTGAATATTAAACTGAAATGGAGATTAAGAATTTTAGAACAAATTTTCCTTCTATTGAATCAATTCTCCAACGGGAACAAACAAACTGAGCTTTTCATTAGTCTAGAAGTCCATCTGAAGTGAATTGTAAATTCAAACCAATATTATACTAACAAATGGAAGCAAGTACCTACGTATCCAATCTTTGTAGACTGCTGATCTAATCACTGCGACTGATTAATTTTGTTACTTAACTAATTGTCTCTATATATAATAATAATTGTAGCTGAAAGCAATCTTTTTATAGTTTTTATAAGTTTTTTAAATCGTACATATATTTTTGAATTGCACATACATTTTGATGGTCTGTTTTATATACCGTTTGTTTTTCTAATGCCATATTATTTGTCTTTACATTTTTACTAGCAAGCGGATAATACATATTTTACGCACCTAGGAACGTGTCTCATTTTAAACCAGCCTAAAATTCAGTCCTTCCGTAACAATAATAATAATATAATACCCCTAGTTAATACGCATAGCGCCATCTAGTCCAAAGCTAAACAGATTTTTGCTTAGGGTCGGCTACGCGCACGTGTCGCCGCTGGTGTATTATACTTCCATAGGCTACGATAAGCGTTTACGATAGGCCGTATGCTTGTTTACCACTAAAGAAAGTTTGTATTATGGGTACTAGACAACTGATGAATATTCTTTAATACGTTTATTTTTGTAAACACATACATAATATACATAGAAAACACCTAGAATCGGTCTAAGTGTTTATGCATATATTAAAAAAAATGTATCAAAGACAATCATACTCGTGAACATAAATGTTTGTGACGTGCGAAGAATAGAAATTGTGACATTGATGATCATGATATGATTGTCTGCACCATATCATGATCTCCAATTAGTGATAGCGTGATGAGAGTTTTAGTCCTCATTGTTAACCAATACTAAAAGATTTTTACTGATCAAATCTTGATATTAGTACCGAAAAAATAATAATAATAATACAATTAAAAGATTTTTATGATCAAATCATAGATATTTGTTTTTCGTAAATTGATATTAGAAAACACACAGACGATACAAACAATATATTACGAAAAAATGAAATAAACACTAACTGTCACTCACCAATATTCACCAATTCTGAACAGATTTCAAGATATTTGTAATATTGATAGCTACTTACATCTATTTTATCCTCTTCATTTCCAAGTCGAGGCGACCCTGGTTGCCAACTGGGGCCCCAAAATAATGCTTTCAATTTGTTCCCAGTCGTCGTCATACTCTGGAACCGTTTGATCACGTATGCAGTGTAGAATGACTGAAACAAAAGAGCAATTTAATAATTTTAAACCATATATAATATTATTTAAAAATATCATGACTATTATTATGTGAATCTATAATTTATACCAATAATCATTTATTCAAATAAACTTACATTGAAGCACTTTTGAATAGTCATTACATTTTTTTAATCTACCGCTCATTCGGAAAGCTGTCTCATCACAAGAAGAAAGATCAAGAAACGTAAGTAGAAGTAAAAGTAAGAACTTAGGTAGAAGTTGCTCTTTTAAATAAATGTATTATTACTTTACATTTTTAAGTTTATGTGTGTGAATATAAACCACCAATTAGCACTAATTCAATTAAATACTCAACTAGAAAAAATATTGAATATATAACCATATTCAAATATTGAATATATATACTAAATGCATATGGAAGTAATACGGTACTTACACCCATAAATTTATTATAAATATTTTTGTCTGTCTGTCTGTTTATTCTTGCTAATATCTGAAACATTGATACGGATTTTGACGGGACTTTCATTCGCAGATAGCTATTATTATAAAAAAAAGGCAACGTTTTTTTTAAGTAAAAGTCTATTTTAATAAAAAAAAATCCGCACTGATATAGGTCGCGTTAAAATTATAATAAGAATAGTAATAGAATACAACATTGTCGCAACACAAGCCTGAAAATGATATGACAGGGGTAGTACTTCAAACAAAGAGAGAGTCAAGCCTTTGATGTATACAAAACTTTATTTGGTTGTCGTATCAAAGTGAATGTAGTTACTTGGTGTTTCATTGTATCGAATTGAATAGAATTTCCGGTTGTCTGACGTTTCTTCGTTTAACTTTGTCCTCTACGGTAACGCCGTGTGATTATTTCTATTTAATAAAAAAAACTAAGCCAAGTGAAACGTTTTTACAGGCGAGATTATTGAAAGTCAAAGATAAGATTTTATATTTGATTTTATTACCAGAAAAGACAATAGTATGTTATCTATGTAACAGGAGACACCCAACAATCCGTGATATTTATCTACCATCATAAAAAAAACTAATTATATGTAGGTAGTTTAAATCAGACAACAAGGTGGAAAAATTAAATTATATGTTGCAGTATGCTTAGGCACAAAAAAAAACAAAAAAAACATCCTCTGAGCTTTTAGTTGAGGAAAAGGTTTTTATTACCCACATATACGTTACGTAGTTTTTCAGACTTACATTTTAAAACGTTTGTAAGTCTATTAACAAAAAAGCTTTCACCTAACTGATAATAACAGAGGTCTTAAGGATGATAATGGAATGGTGCACCCGCCTGCACTAACGGTTTACGCTGACGGGGCACCAGTGGAGGATCATAAGATGAACATGAGGTCAGATCAGTTAGCACATCGTGACAAATTCTACAGCAATTTTTCACGATGGTTTTCTGGGCTCACCGCATGAAGATCAATCTGACATGGTACTTTGCTATCAATGAAATCAATTAAATAAGATGCTGTATCTCCTGTAATTTCACTGTCAAATCTCAACCGAAACACAGCTTACAAGCCACTACACGGCGCCTGAAAAAGGCAAGGCCAATGTAAGGAAGAGGCGCTCATTCTTAGGTTTTGTATTAGTCTATTTCACTGAATTTATTACAAAGAAAATTTAGTCTGTTATCTGTTCATATTATTAATTTATAACAGTACAAGAAATAATATATAGTACAAGAAAGAAAGAAATGAAAAATGATACAATTATTCGTATAACCTACAATTAAATACACGACCAACAGACAGTATTGTGGGCAGATTTTGCGAACAAACTCTTGTTTTATTTTGTATAATTATAATTTTATTACTTCGCTTTGTTCTCGTAATTAACGTAACTACTTAATGATTAAATATATTATTTAAGAGATATAAAGATTAAAATATAAGCCTTTGCTGTAAGATTAAGTTGAATTGGGTTAATTAAAAATTAATTACTTATGAGAGTTATAATCTCGTTGTAGTTAATAGAATGAAACATGTTGACTGCAAAATGTTTTATCTATGGTCAACCGACTGTTGTGTGGTAGAAAACTCAGTTGGTTAACAAAAAATAAAATACTGTTATAATTTGGAGACATAGTATTGATTCACACATTGACCCCATCGTATAGATGCCAGAAAGCGTTATTAACTAATGAGGATAACCGTTAATAACCACATTTTATCAGTAGCTAACCGTAATTTTGCTTAAATAACGGATATTTATTTAGTTATGCCTTTATCCATGTAATTAGATAGAAATGACATAAAGTCGTAGCGGTGCCTTCCGTCAGACGTCAGACGTCCGACTTTCAGCCGGCCTACAAATATTTTCAAAGATTTGGAGTGCCATCTGCACTCGCCCTCCATCGTTCGGGGAAGCTGTGAGGGCCAGCTGCTAGCATTAGAATAGTTCGGAAAAAAAACACCCTTTACTCGATATAGTTTACACAGCAAGCTGCTAGGCAGCTGAAACAGGTAGGACAGAGACCGACGGCCTTATATAGTATTCGTGGTATGTCATATAATAAAGTATATCCAGTGTTATTTAACTCAATACTATATTATTAGCGATATAATTGCTAATACTACGGCACGCATGCGAATTGAACATTATGACTACCAGGGTTTTAGGAATTCTAAGAGCTCTTATAAGAGCTATTGGATTCATCCGCTAATGTACTATGTATCTTTGTGATATATCAAATATGGTTTCCTGAATTTGAGTAGCTTTACAAAGTAAAAGATAATTACACAAGCGAAATTAATGGATGCCCACATTGTCGACTGAGTGTGCTCGTGTGAAGAGGCGCTCAGATAATGTATTGTGTTACACAGAAATTGACGCGTATTTCAGGGTTTGTTTGAGTATGCGTGATTCGTATAGAGCTACTACATTATATTACACATATAATATAATTTAGTATATTATATATATATGTATAATATATACTATATTCTGCAAAGTCATAGTACATTATTTTGTTCTATCATTAATAGTTTTCACAGCGCACGCGGTGTAACGTATTTTTTACATCTTGGGGTTACATTATTGGAATTTTAGTAAGGATTGCTATTTTGTTGGAAATATAATATAGCCTATGTCACCAGGAATAGAGGAGCTTTCTAATGGTGAAAGAATTTTTCAAATCAGTCGAAGTTCGAAGCCTATTCAATACAAACAAACAAACAAGGTCGTGTAATTTCGAAGCCTATTCAATACAAACAAACTTTTCCCCTTTATAATATCAGTTTAGATTAGATTAGATATACAGGATTAGTCTTTAAGGGCAAAGCAATCCGAAACCTAAATAAAATAGATCTATTTTATTTGGGTTTGAAGGAGACTGTAAAAAGGTGGACATCCCACCAATTTTAGTCACCAAGCAGCTTGCTTTTAAGCTCAATCAAAAGAAAATAAATACCTCTAACGAATCAGAATGACTTTTCATTAACTTTACTTTTATTGTTTGTGAATAAGACGTGTTTATATAAGTACTTGTATAACGTTGGTTAATGGCACGGAGAGGTGGATTTACCTTTTATGGCATTAAGAAATAAATCTTCCAAGATGTAAGGTAATCTGACAATTTTGAGCGACAAAGTCAGCTGAGGTGAGAATGAAATGAAAAGCTAACCCGTCCTTTTAAGATTTCAAGTGACTTGCGGCAATCTTTTATAAAAACATACAGTCTTAAATGAAGACCAAAAAATATAACTACCACGGGAAGAAGGACTATTGAAAAACAATTATAAAAATAAGTTAATATTTAGCGAAATATTCAAATATACAAAGAGAAGTATAATTAATTGTATAATAATTTCTTTGTATAAATATAATTCTCATTTCATATATATAGTTTTTTGTAAATATAACCTTAGTATATATGTAATTTTTATGTTGATTTATATAGAGTATGTTTATATAACATTATATTATAGCAAGTAAAACGCCGTCCTCTCCATGCTATTTTCAGCTGAAAATATTTGATGAAAGTTATAGTATTCATAAATTACACAATAAGCTGTATGCAGTGTATAGGTTCAGCACACCACTTTACTTCTGATGGTCGTGGGTTAGCTACCTTGCTCAGTACAAACATTTGTACTTATGTGTATAAACAATTATACACATAAGTACAAATATTGCTCTGGGTATACTATGTATATTATCTATGTATTTAAGTGTTTCTATCAATTGCCTAGTAGCTATAACACAAGCTCTGGTTAGCTTGGGCGGATGGCGGTGTGTGAATTGACCATGATTATTAAATATATATATATATATATAAACATTTTATAGGTACAACCAATATACCTTCTATTTTAGTAGACACAAAGATTACAAAGTAAGAAGCCTACTTTATAGGCTGTACTTTAGTTTGAAGGATGATATATGGCAGTAAAATTAAACGGTACAGAGGAATGATAGCTTAAGCATCTGGAATGACAATGTATGAATGGTAGAACAAAGTCACCGTCGCTATCTGTCCCCCCCCCCCCCCCCCCCTGTTTTTTTAAATAGATGTATGCTATAAATCTTTACAACTTACTTTTTATAAGTGTACAGTGTAAATATGTATACACATTATATAAAAAAAAGATGTTCTATTGAGTTTCTTGCCAGTTCTTCTGAATAGAATGTGTATACTAAACTGGACGGTAGGGAAAAAATTTAATACAAAAAAATTGACGATCATAAGCGTCTAAAATGTCTTAAATAAATAAATTATCTTTGATTTAATTTAAAAAGAATATTCAGGTATTAAGGCCATTTATCATGACGTGAACTGTCTGCTACTCTATCATTCGACTTACAAGAAAAAATATTTTATTAATATAACTCACCTGTAAATGAAGAGGGTTGAAAGACGGCTGGTTGTAGATAAGACCGTAGACAATTTCAATTTTATCAGTCTCTGGGCGGAAGGTGCCGAACATCCGGTCCCAAATGATAAGAACGCCGCCGTAATTCACGTCAAGGCAGTACTTGTTGCTTCCTGGAGGGAAATAAAAAAAAATAATACAAATATACTTGACTAAAGATCCCCTCTGGCTTCGTATGGAAGAAAAATAAACTTAAAATATACTTGACTAAGAATTTACCCCGGCTTCGTATGGAAGAAATTATGATGGAGATCAATATGTTGAAAATAAAATATAGCCGTTTTCTGGTAAGATATCTTTCTACAGGCAAGTTTCTTGCTCATTTTTATTAACTGAATCTGCATCCGAAATAATGACTATAACGTATACCTGAAATCAGTGCTGCAGTGACACGCTGCGGCACCATCTTAGTGGAGACCCTTTCAGCTCATAACGCGATATTAGCTTTTAAGATTTTTGATACTTTTACTCTATATTATGGTATGCTGAATATATATTACTATTATTACTCTCATTGTTGTCTCATTTGCTGTTTTACGCTTAAGCTTTATAGCGTTATATTATTATAGCAATTATAGTCATTACTCATTATATATTATACTATAACCAGGTATAATAACTATTCAAAAGTGCTTAAAATTGCATGTATTCTTCTGGAGGTGAAAGAAACTTTGTTACATGGATAGGCGGGCGTAAGAAAATTGGTCAAACAGCTTGCTCAAAAGCTTATATATCTGCTGTTGTAATATAGTACTTATTAGCTTTTAATTATATATATGAATTCATAGGAATAGAATAAAGTGGATTATGAATGTAAATTTAGAAACAAATAACAAATCAACTTATTTATATCTACAAATTTTAATAGTGTTCATAAAGCTTACTAAAATTTATTTATTTATTTACAAAAACTTAATGCACAAATACAAAAAAAAGGTGCATATGGTGGACTTAACACCATAAGGCATTTTCTCCCATCGACCATAGAGCAAACAGAGATTAGTGAGCGGTGCATTAGTAAAAAATCTACTGTACATATTATTATGAAAATATTATCAAAGAAATTTATCAATCCTGCAATTGAATTGATTACAATCAAATTTATAGTGTCATACTGCTAAGATAAAGTATCAACTAAAACTGATAATACGTTTGCATATTATAGCACAAATATAGAAGACATAAATAGACAGAAATAAATAATTGTTTGCTATACGCAATTATAACTATATATAGGATAAATAAATAGCGGAAGGCTATATACGTATATATATTACGTAAATAATAAAAAAGAAGAAATCTCCGTATAATCCGAAATACACGACTAGTCGGAATTATAATTGGGTATAACGATCTTACATTTTACTATAAATAGGATCAAAAGAAACATATTATATTTATCTAAATATGACTTAATATTATTGATATGGAAGTATATTCTTTATTTTATTACCTAAGTGCGGAGAAATAAAAGGAGGGTTATGATTTTGATCGGTATGTTCATCTGTCCCCTTACAACTTCTATACTATGTAAGTTTTATAAAGTATAAAACAAAAGCACCGACGCTATGTGTTCGCTTATATCTTTTAAATTACGCAACGGATTTTATTGCAGTTTTCAGAAATAGATAGAGTGATTCAAGAAGGTTTGTATGTCACTTTATTCATGGTCTATTTATGGTCAATCTATTCCCCCAAATTTGAATTTAATGAATCTGTATTATTTTAAACATGTGCTACATTTATTTGAAAAAAAATACGAGCTGAGTTTCTTGATATGACATATTATAAGAGTCTGTAATAGTGTGTCCTATATGAATAAAGATATTTTGAATTTTGAATTTGAATAATGATAAATTCAAAGAATTATACTAGCAACTGATATGAAGCCGGGACAGGTTGCTATGTTATACTTTGACAAATTTGGTATCGTTGGAAATATTTTGATTTTCCCCTGGTTATATCTTATTGAAATAGCTAGTAGATGTCATAAAGTAAAAATGAAATTGCTTACCATGATGCACTCTGTGATGACTGGGTGTGTTAAGTATATACTCTAGAGGACCAAGGCTCTTGATGGTTTCGGTGTGTATCCAGAACATGTACAGATAGCTGAATTGGTGGTGCATCACAAACTGTGCAGGCGGGATCGCCAGCGCCAAGGGTAGGTAGAATATCTAAAAAATAAAATTGAAACAAATTACCATAGACTACTCTCATAGCGTCATCTAGTAGTAAAGTGAGTATGGTTAGCATGAAGATTAGAGAACTGTTAGACATTCTTAAGTATACTTTTATGTTAATACATATATTATACTGCAAGTAAAATTACGATTTTAATTAATTTTGTTTACGGCACATGAAACAATCAGTTCTCAAAGATAATTTTTGTTTAGTGAGATAGATATACCTAAGTACACTTTTTATTAATACATATTTGATACTGTAAATAAAATTGCCTTTTTAATTAATTTTGTTTGCGGCACAGAAACAATCAGTTCTCAAAGAGAATTTCTGCTCATTTTTGCAACATTTTTCATAAATGCTATGCTCCTACTGCCTCCTGGACGTTGTAAGATGTTATGTAGCCTAGAGCCTTCCTGATAAAATGGAATATTCAGTAGATTAATTCGATTTAGTAGTTCGTGAGATTATAACGGTGAATCAACCAAATAAACTCTTCAGCGGCATAATATTAGTATATATATGTGTATACTCGTGAATTATTTTACTTTCTTACATTCGTTAATTTGTTATATTCATAGGAATCGAACCCGCTAATCAGAGTCAGAATACTAAACCGCTATACCACTATCAGCATCAAATTTTAGTAAAACTAATTATGTTATCTGTGGCAAAACTGAAATACATAATGGTGAAGTTTTGTTTCATTTTTTTTTATAAATAGGAGGTCTTAGGTAGGTTAGTTAGGTACTTAGAAATAGGTTTTCTTCAACTGGTGAAGAATGGAAGATAACGCTCTGAGATGTATGTATGAATATACTACGTATATGAAAGTAAGTGAGATTCTTTTAGCATAACCTCTAGCAAAATAAAATCAAAGAATATTATTATACGTACTCTACCTTTTTATATCTATTTACGCCTATGCAACTATTTAGGCTGTAAAAGAAAATAGGTTTCAAAAGATAGAGGACGTAATAGTAAAGAATTTAACAATATTGTAATACTAACTGACTGACTCTTCCAACCTTGTATCTACCCTCATACAATAAGAATTATAGTCACATCAATTGACAGGCAATATTACCCTTTCATACCCTACAATAAAGTGTTAAACAAAAAACAATAAAATAATGTTGACATATTTATAAATTGAGTTCGAAAGTCCCAGAGCTATTGTCCCAAGCGGGTTCAGTAATTGAATTTAATACTTGATTGACGTGCCTAGGAATACATTATAGAGCTTCGCACTGAATAGGAAAATATCAATACATTAAGACTAATAGTGGTGAACTACTATGTATAAAAAAATGCTTTTATATACATATTTATACAGATTTATAACTTCCAGAAGCCTTTAAAGAAATAAAGTCATTGCGACAATTTAAAACTACTATACTGAAATGCATTTTAAATAAATGTTTCCACTTAATCAATGACGATGTTTCTATACAGACGGCCTCAGAGGTCTAGTGGTTAAGCACACCGCTTTACTTCCAATGGTCGCGGGTTCGATTCTTCGCATGGTGCAAATATTTGTATCAGAAACGATACAAACAATCATGAGTATGATTGTTTGTATATTAAAATAGTTATATCAATAAATTTATAGTAACGTTTTATATTAACTATCTAATAATAAATGTAGCTATGGAAATTTATTTTCCCAAGATTTTTTACGTAAATTACTCAGACCGGTTTATTTTAGTTTCATACCTCTCCGGTAGGAAACTAAATTAAATCTATTGTTAACTAGCTGACCTACGCAACTTCTTCTGCATTACACTTACTTGTCATTTATTATTATATTCCTACCAATTTACATAATCTTTTTAAATTATAGCCTATTATACTGATGTATGAGCTATATTATTGTAAAGTTTCTTCAAAATCCATTCAGTGGTTTTTGTGTAAAACAGTAACAAATATCCATTCATCCAGCTACACTCACAAACATTCGCGTTTATAATATTAGTAAGATTTTTATTAATTTCTACAGAAATCGCATAACATGTATAGGAAAATGTATTTAAGTTAGCTCCTTTTTTGGAAGCCGGTAAATTAGGGATACTTACAAAGCCACCCCATCCCTGCAGCACAGACTGTCTAATCCCGATCCCCATGTTGAAGTCTTCAGAGGTATGATGGACCTGATGCTGAGCCCATAATATATGCACTTCTGTAAATAAAAATATACTATCCTTAATACAATTTTAAAGCACAACCTTTAAAGGGATGAATACGGGGTTGAAAGTATATGCACTTCTGTAATTAAAAATATACTATACTCTACAACCTTTGAAGGGACGAATAAGGGGCTGAAAATATATGCACTTCTGTAATTAAAAATATACTATATTTAATACATTCAACCCTGAAATGGATGGGGATGAATTCCGGGTTGAAAGTTTTTACGAAAAGTAAAATTAATCTGATAATTATTTATTTACGTAATAATGGATTTTAACGGAATGGTGCTCCCGCTTTTAATGATGTTTTTCGCTGGCGGCCTATCGATAGAAAGTGATAGTATTAGTCAGGTTAGATAGACCCTGATGGGGATCGAACGGAGGTCAAACTCTGTGTAGATTGTACAAATCAGTACTAGTACAAATTACTAATAAAAAATAATCTTCCTAGACTATACTACAGATAATATAATATTACAGGAGGAAAAAGAATTGCTAATAAAGTGACTGTTGACCTGGAAACCATCATGATAAATTCCTGGTGAATTTGTCAGGATCGGCTCACCGACCAAACCTCCTGTTCATCTTATCACCACCACCACATACTGACAGGGCACCGTTCCCCGTTAGTATAAACTGTTAGTGCAGGCGAGTATACCATTCCATTATCATACATTAAAAAAATATAATCTAATATATAAAATTCTCGAGTCACAGGTTTCGTGTTTATACTCCTCCGAAACGGCTTTACCGATTTTGATGAAATTTTATATGTGTATTCAGTAGGTCTAAGAATAGGTTTATAACTAATTTAACTTTAACTTTTATACCACTAAGTGTTAAGGATGGCTCACCCCAAAATTATTTTTCTACAATTTTTTTTTAAATTTTATTTTTTTATTATATGGCATAAAAAATACATACAGTCTTATATTTTCACCCTTCTACCACCAACGCCTATTTTTTTAATAATAATATTAAGTTATATGGCAAAACAGCGTTTGCCGGATCAGCTAATATTGATATACGATTCTAGCATTCTTAAGTATACATGCACATATATGGATCAAAAATACACTACCCTCTTTTATACCGCAGTCGGGTAAATAAGTAAATATAAAAGAACAGGAAACAATAACTTTACTCATTACTATATATACTAAAGTAGGAAGTTTGCGTCTCCAGTGGAACCTTGACAGTCCGGAACAAATATCATTATGGGAAACGATGTGATTAAAATAATATTGATCGTTTGTTTACTTCATTCTATTTTAATATGAATATCTACTTAGTCGTAAAAGATGATTATGACGATGGATTACCGGTTCAGAACACCCTCTGTCTTCCGATGAGCGCGGGTTCGATTTCTCGGAAGGTAGAAACATTTATATTCATGAGTTTGTATTGGTCTGTGTATTTATATATTATGTATATATTTATAATAAATAATATGTATTTCATTATTTATATTTAGTACTATTTTGTTTAGTACCCATAACAGAAATAGCTTGGGACTTTATTATATATAGATTAGCTTAGCTTCGCGGATGTACATGTATTATACATACACTTCCTCTTGAATCACTGTATCTATTGCTAAAAACTGTATTAAAATCTGTTGAATAGTTTGTAAGATCTAAGTAAATAGACACCTCTTAACGACCTCGGTGGTTTAGTGGTTTAGCACACCGCTTTACGTCCAATGGTCGCGGGTTCGATTCCTAGCACGGCACAAACACTTGTATTCATGAGTAAGATTGTTTGTATCCGTCGGGGTGTTTTCTATGTATAATATGTATGTATTTACGAAAAAAATATATATCTATGTATTTGTATCAGTTGTCTAGTACCCATAACACAAGCTTTAGCTAGCTTAACTTGGGTCCAGATGGCGCTGTGTGAATTGTGTTGAGATTAATATTATTATTACTATTATTAGACAACGGAAGTGACTGCATTTTATATTATGTAAATATGCTGTGTGTGTGTCACTTTTATAGATTCATTTTGTAAGTTGCGTTAAATTATCAAAACACCATTCTGTTGCTCACTAATGTAAATGTTACAGACAGACATACTTTTGCAATTATATTATTACGTATTAACATATACAGAAAAAGTACAATCAAACAGAGAACCTCCTTCATTTTAAAGTTGGTTAGAAATATAAATCCTACTTAAAATGTATTTAGGTAGAGTCCTTACAAACTGTAGGTATCAGGAAATGTAGACAGGAAAAAAAATGGTGGAATACCCATTAGAACAGAGAAATGGGTTTCGCGCGAGCGAAGCCGCAGTGTAATAAATCTTCCAGTATTATATATAATAATAGAAAAATATAACAAGTTACGTGTCCATACTGTCCGTACTTATAGTGTGAGAGAACAGAAATTTTACCTAACTGGCGAAACGATAGAGGCAATGTTTTCTGTGGTATAGCTTTATACTTTTGTTGATTTTTGGTGAAATATAACCTTTGTTTATCATTAGATTTGTCTTAATAGAACGTTAAATATTCAACTTTCAATATTATAATTATTATCAATTTGTTAATTTTAATAATGTAAATATAACTCTTTGATATCGTTCCGTTGCTTTTAATCCATATTAAAAAAGTAAAATTTGGCGCCAAAATGCTGACCACAAATAAAAAAGAAATTATGTTGTATAGAGACTTAATAGAATAAGAGAGAAATATATATTTAATATAGTGTTATATTATTTAAATGTAAAAATAGTTTTCTTTTGTTTTGAATTTGACGACTGAAAATAATTCTGTAATAAATGAAAAAGAAATAAAAATATTTTATTACTATTGTGATATAGTACATACTTTTAAATGGAGATACTCTATTAAAAACATAGAATAAATATAAACTATTAAATATTTCCAAAAAAAGTTCAAAAAGGTAATAGTTTAGAAGTTCATTATTCTATGAGAATAACTTTGATTTATTATTGGCTCAATTACAAATTTTGTATTTAAATTATACAGCAGGCAAGCAAAGATCGCTTCCTATACAGTCTTATATTTTGGTAAATGTTGACTTACCGTGGCAAGCTCTATGCATCCAATAGTAGCAAAAGTCGACTCCTAAAGCAGCCGCATACCACGTGACTGTATGATTCCAAGGCAATTCCACGAGTCTAAAGTTAGAATAAATCCATGTATATAGATAGGATTCTGCGCCTCGCCATATTAATCTGCAAAAAAATATACTATTAAACTCCTTGAGTAGATTATTCCTTCCTCCATTTATTATGAATAAACAAGTAACACATATAAATATTGTATATTTTAATAACAAAATTTAAAGAGCATGATGGACGATCGTGGAAAGTGGCAAGAGCTCCACCGACAAGAGCGTGGCTCTTAAAGTATAAATGAATAAATGAATGAACGAAAATTATTGTACCTGCCACATTCTTGAAATATTCCATGAGATATACTGGTAATTCCATCATTAAGTCGAATACCATTCTTTCCTTCTAACCTTAATACTATGTGTTCTAGAATCATGAAGATTAAAAAATATGGCCATGACTGCAACAAAAGAGAAATAATACACTTAAAATATATATTGTGTATATACATACTTCTATAGATGAAGGCCATATAATAAAAATGTAAACATTAAGAATAAAGGTAAAATAATTTAAATTTAGAACAATGGATTATCATTGTTCTAAATTCAAATTATTTTACCTCGCCATTTTAATCTGCTACTATCTTTTCTTTCAATTCCGTAAATATAAAAATGTAAATATACAAACGACCCATCATTCCAATTTCAAATTACTTTTCCCGCCTTTTAACTATACTACCATTTTGTTCTTAAATTCAATTTCATAACCTAATTCTCGTTAAATTAAGTTGATCTACTTCTTTATAGAAACAGTTCAGTAGACATCGAGGTAATTTAAAGACTCATAATACGATAAAAGAATTCACTACGAAAATTTATGAGAAATTTCCAAGAAGAAATTTACCTACTTCGACTTATTTATCTGTGTTCAAATATTAAACAAAAGTGTAATGAAAGTTCACGAATAAAGGCGTTTAATTGTAGGTATAAGAAGATTGGTAGCAATAAATGTCCTGGCAATTTATCTAGTTTCCTAATCTATTGTAATACTGCTAAGGTAGTATGTAGTAGTGACATAAGGGACATATTAGCCCAGTTTGCGGTTTGTCGAACACGTCACACGAAGGTCGACCCTAATCAGAACCGAGATTAGAGTTGCCCGCCATTTATGTCTTATTGTAACAGGTGAATATTTCATGTATGTTTTGTAAATTCTAAAATTAGCCGAAAATATTTAACAATTTATACAAACAATCTTATTAATATTTTTTGTATAAATTGTTGCGAAAGTTTGTGAGTATGGATGTTTGTTACTCTTTCTCGCAAAAACTACTGAACAGATTTTGATGAAACTTTACAGTAATATAACTTACACATATAATAGCATATAGGCTATAATTTCACACGTGTGAAACCGCGGGTATAGCTAGTATATAATAATCCAGGGAAAATCAAGCAATGTAACAAGACAGCAAACTTACTATCAATTCGTGCAATATTTTTTAAGTGTTTCTAGGTAGATATAGGTACCTACCTAGGAACGTATAAATATTAATTTAAGAATCTTGGATTTAAAATTAGAAATACCTGGACAATTTAGTTTAAAACCAGGACTCAGTAATATAGTTGTTATAAATATATTATTATGTAATATCAATATGGATGTAAATTAATAAAATTCTAGTAATGGAAATATTCGAGAATTTTATATATAATAATGATAATGATGACATTGTAAAAATGGTGCGCGAATTTTGAAAATACATTATCTTATCAGGGTGTTTTAAAACCCCAGGACGCGGCTTAAAAACTATCCAGGGCACCCCAGGACACTAGAAAAATTAGGACATGTCCTGGACAAAACAGGACGGTTGGCAACTCTATGCCTCTTATTCTCCTACATTTACTGCCTAATCTCACCCTGCAGCTAAAACACAGCACACAAAACAAACTATGGCGGCCGACATAGATATCCATGCAGACGACTTTTAAAATGTACTTTTAGTCAATTGATTGATTAAAAGAAATTTCTATTGGAACGGCGATATGATACGCGTGGACAAATACGCGGGAGATAGTTAGTCATCCATTGATCGAAACCAACGAGTGTCGCAAGTGCGTTACGAAACCACCACCGCCTCAGTCCGTAATGCGATATTTACATACACATTCACATAGTGGTACGCCAAACGTAACTTGACACGTTGCGTTTACATTAGCGCGTACTATGTTCGGTCCATTTCGTTAATTTGGTCGGCATTAGGTTTCGATCCGGTCATTAACCTTAGCCAACTTGAAAACAAATCTATAACTCCTAATGTCTTTATGTTAATTGTTTTCCTTGACTTACCCAACTGTATATGTATTAATTATTATAATTATAATAAAAATAGCTGTAATATAAGAAATGGACGTCCTGATCGACCCACTTGGCAAATAATCACTATAATAAAGTAGTCTTTCAAATTACCCTATGCAACCAATTGATATAACTTTTAAAAAAAAGTGTTTACTCAGTAACTTACAAAAACGATTTTCTTCTAAGTGACTCAAGCAATCTGGCTGGTGTTAGAATTTTTAAATATAGAATCATTATGGAATATCCAGAACATTCTATAAGAAGGTATTTACAGATATTACCACAGAGACATGCAGTGTTAGATATTTTACGCGGGAAACTGCTGATAGTAGCTGTAGAATAATATCACATTAATTCTGGTCTACTTTAATCCTCCAGGACACAAATTGTTTTCTTTCTCTACACAATTTTGGTTACCAAAATTTCTCATAGTTTAAATTCTGATTGAAATTTTGTATACAAATATATATTTTTTATTTTGAATTTAATGCAAAGAAAACCATAAGTGATTGAAATCTACTGAAACAATCAACTGACATTAAGGCAGTCTGTTGAACTGCCAGTTTATATAAAATATTTTGAAGAACTTTAATAATTTATATGATCCTGAAATAAACCTTATTTATTTTGGTATCGTGTTTTATTTTCACATTTATTTTACAAACATACCTATTCAACACATTTCAAACCAGAGATTATATTTAACAATTTATCAATCACAGACAATAATGTAAGTATTTAATTGCCATGGCAATAATAGAAACTTAAAGATGTATCGTCGACTAACTTAAATTTGTATTAGCGCCAGCCGTGATCGACTTGATTACGTTTAATTTACTTTGCTATTTTGTAATTCAGAAAAAATGTGAATTATCACAGCTGAGAACAGAAGCCGTGACCTCATTACCAACTAGTGTCTCAGTACTCTGCCTGAGGTCATTAAATATTGGCCAATAATGACCTTGAACCTATACAACTTTTCAGTTAATAAGTAATGAAAGGCACTATTAATAATTTTAGAAAGAACGATGTTGTAATATGTGTTATTGATAAGGTCATGTTATATTATTTTTGCAAAACTTGTCGCATAGATGTATGTAATGTAATTCGGATTCGCAGCTGAAATAAGTGAGACAGATACTTGCGCTTAGACAAAATTGTTTACCGTTTTGGTGACAAGCAATTTTTACAATAAATTATATTACGTACAATGTATGTATTTTGTACAATGACATCTAGTAAGCAGTAAACAACCTAAATTAAAGAATTAAATATAATAAACAATAAAATATATTTCTTAATTATTTTAGTCTACGTCGCTACATAGTTATATAATCTTGTGCAAGAAAATCTCGAAATGTTAAAGATAACAGAAACAAAATCCATTACGTGATTAAAAAAATTAGAGGAACAGACGAAATCAAAGACTTTGGTTTACACTGTTTTGATACTTCGGATATCTATAGAGAGATTAAACTTGATAATCTCATACGGCATTAAGCATTAGTGGCTTGTTTTCTATGAACTAGGGTTTTTTTAATAACAATAAAAATAACCCAGGGCAATTTAGTCACATGCTAAGCAAAGCTTGTATTATGGATACTAAACAACCAATAGATATATTTAAATACATTTTTTTGTAAATGCATACATAATATGCATAGAAAAAATCCAGACAATACAAAGAATCATACTTATGAATGCAATTGTTTGTACCGTGTGAGGAATCGAACTTACAACCTCGAAGGTAAGGCGGTATGTTAAATCGCTCGACCACTGAGGTCGTTAAAGATTTAGGTATAAGTAGAAAGCGTCATAGAGTAGTTGTGGCGTAAATCTATTTTATGCGAGTTATAATTAAATTAAGTTTTGAAATGTAATGCAAAACAATTTGTATACCGTAATTATGGAGATTTTAAGCCGCTAACTTTAATTACTTACAAAGGGAATGCGGGTGTGTTTAAATAAGACAATAGCTTTGTTTCAGTGATGGATTGCAGGAGTAAGGTTGCAGGAGTAGGATTTTTTGTTTATATTGTTAGTCGGGTCTTAAAATGTTTATGGTAAACAAAGGTATTAACCTCTCTCGATATTTCACTAACTATGGTAATATTTCAGGAGAAATAATATAATTCTTAAAGGTTTCCAAACCGTGTCAGTTCTAAAATATCAGTAGTGCCAGGTGATTCCACAATATGATTTTGCGGGGCAAAGAGTTTCTGGAATAAGGTACGGTGGAAAATCACCATTCTTTCAAATGATCCGTAGAATAATGTAATAAAATTAATTAAATACTAGTTTTTAACCGTGATTTTGTTCGTGGATTGGAATTGGAATATTTCGTTTCGTTTCGTTATAAAAAGTGGCCTATACTACTCAAATATATATACAGGTGCCAAATTTATGATAATTGGTAGAGTCATGGAGGCGCCAAAGCGTAACAAACAAATAAACCCACTATAATATTTTAATATTATTTACGGTTTTTTATGATTTCATTGCTGGAATTGACATATTGTTATGAAGTAGATAAATAAGCGAGTACTTGTACTCATGAGTCTTCTTTTGTAAATAATTGATAATTGATCAGGATCAGTAAACAGGGTTGAGTGTAATTATTGTAAGTAGTAATCTTTTTTTTTTATTGAATATAGTTCATGGTACTTGTTGATAATGTAGTTTTCTATAGATAAAAGAATTCATGGAATCTTTTTATATATGAAAGTATTTTTTATTTTATTCAACAATAACGAAGAACATCTTAGTTTTTTGTATCTACTGTAAGGTGTTATAATTTTACATAGCGATCTATTAATTATACTTGGATTTTTTTTTATGACTACCAAATATATACTTTTATAAGTAAAAAACCAATCAACTAACTAATGATCAATACGAAAGTATCCTAATAATAATAAAAAAGAAAAAATTGTCTATGTCACAGTTATCTAGTTATACATCACTAGTGTTTTGTTAGGCGGCGTTGTTCGAAATATTCAGCTCTATCCATTTAAATATATAGCAATATAAGTTCCAAATTTTAATTTAATAGATGAAAATTTAGCGTTATTCTAAATCCTAAATGACAATTTCCAGGACAAGGGTTTACCCATAATTTTAAAGCGACACCTGACTCAATGAATAAAGGAATTAATAATAAAACCATTTGTTCCATTAATATTTCGTTACATTATATTGTTTTGAGTTTAATTGAAAATACCATAGTAGGTACAGCTTTACGCGGGCGAAAGTTACAATTAATTTTATAAAGTTCAAGCCTCAACAACAAGCTTATGATTGAATAGGTTTCAAAGCTGATATGAATATAATTTGATATTTATGAATCTTGCCAGAAATAATTGTTGTGATAATTAGTGTTGAAATTTATAACTTAATTTTGAATCTAGTTGGCTTTTCTTATTTCTTAACAGTGGGGTTACCAATTTATATGGGGACTAGCCCCATTACTAATAATCTCCTTGCCTTCCTGAAATATTATAAACGTGGAAGTTTGTGAGTGTGAATGGATGGTTAATTATTTATTATAATAACGACCTCGGTGGTCTAGCGGTTTAGCACACCGCTTTACGTCCTATGGTCGCGGGTTCGATTCCTCGCACGGCACAAACATTTGTATTCATATTATGATTGTTTGTGTCAGACTGGGTGTTTTCTATCTATAATAATATGTATGTATTTACGAAAGAAAATATCTATGTATATGTATCAGTTATCTAGTACCCACAAACTTTGGCTAGCTTAACTTAGATCTAGATGCCGCTGTGTGAATTGTCCTGATATTATTATTATTATTATGCTTTCAGGCAAAAACTATAGAATGAATTTTAGTGAAACTTTACAATAATAGATCTTATACATCAGTAATACATAGGCTATAAATTTCATGCGGGTATAAGCGCGGGTATAGCTAGTATTTAATAAACATTTTTATTGTTATTATATAATATGTGTTATATAGTAACTAACCAATATAGTCATATGTATTTTAGTATACATAATTCCAAACTAACTGAAGCAGATAGCACAGTATTAAAACATAATTTTATACTTTCTTTTAAATAGATAAGTATATAATACTAGTTGACCCTCGCAATTCCTCTACATCACAATTACTTGACATTTATCATTATATTTCGCCCAATTTACATAATATCTTTTTAATTATAGCCTGTGTTATTCTGATGTATAATCTGATGTACATTACTGCAAAGTTTCATCAAAATTGGTTTAGTCATGTTTGCGTGAAAGAGTAATAAACATTCATCCATCCACTCACAAACTTTCGCATTGTAATATTAAGATAAGATACATTAAAAACAACAAGAACCACCCCTAAGGGGATAAATTAACGCAAGCAAAGTCGGGGGCAAAAGCTAGTACTAATATTAATGCACCGGTGTGCACTTCTAGCGCTTGTGGTAAAATTCCTTTAAATCGACTTATTTACTCGGTAGATACATATAATAATGCAAGCCCAGACAAACTTGTAAAGTTATTAATAGGTATGTTATTCTAATGTGACATAGCCTACATCTTATATTTTGTCTTGGTTTTTGAATAAATTTTTATTCTTAAAAAAATATAAATTAAATGTAATGAATTACATATCTAAGTGAACTACTCTGACTACATACACATATATGTATTTTTGTGCACATAATAATATACAGGACGACTCACACAGCGCCGTCTAGTTCCGAGTTGTCTTACGAGTACTAGACAATACTCGAGCTGCATCCCATCAGGTCATCGTATAACACTGTCATACTCATCATATATTTGAAATATATCATCATTCTGTCACGGTGTCATGTTTATGACACTAATTATTTATAAGGTTCCTATAATTATAGGAACTTGGACGACTAAGGTATCATAGATATGACACCTTATGCCTTCAGAATAGCACTGAAATTATAGGTATATATAATTTCAGTGGTATTTCGAAATACACCTTACAAATCAGTCTGCTTTAGGTTTGAATACCATTTCTATCTTGGTAAACATAGAACATCTATAGAAATACAGCAAGAAAATACATACTTGTCTAAAAAAATTTGGTACATCTTCTTTCCTTTCGAACATGGTATCTTGTGGTGAATGTAAGTAGAATATCCTGCCGACTGCCTTCATATGCTCGCTCAGTATATCCGTAAAGCCATTGCTGATTGTAGCGTTAGCGTATGAGAAGTCTACCGCCATATTGCGTTTTAGCGCCTACCTGGAGAAGATATATTAGTACATAAATTTCCTGCATCAGATTTTAGCTGTATACAAAAAGATCAACAAAATTCCCAACCTTAACCATAACAAAACTTCCATGAAGTAACTGAGTAACTTTTTATAAATACTTTTGATGACAGAAGAATCATCCACATGAATTTAAAATTGATATCGCGTAACACACATTCAAGAGTATAATTGTAGATAGGATATGCTGGGCGAAATCAATTCAAAATATCTTTATTCATGTAGGTCTATTACATATTCTTATGATATCAAATCTACCCTTATATAAAACATGAATTTTCCACATTGTATCTATGTATATCGTAGTCGGCTAGAGTACATACATACTGTCATGGTGATAATATTATTAACCAGTCGACAAATATATTAAATATTTAAAATATAAACCTCGCCAATCGCTGTATATTTCTCATTTCCGAGTAACCTTAGTAAAAAGTATTTAAAAGAAATCTTGCATAGAAATCCAAACATTGTCTAAAAATTTCAAGTCTTGTCATCGAGTACTTTTCTAATTTTACAGATCAAACCATACGGATATTGATTTTTATGTATATATTATTATATATATATATGTAACCTTTTAGCAGTGAATATATTTTTAAACTACTTTATAATGAAGATAGTGACTGACATCGCACGGATACATTACAAAATCTTTGAATTTCTCGGCTTGTCCTATATTATAATACCCATGTATTATACATATAAATCTTCCTCGTGAATCATTCTATCTATTACTAAAAACTGCTTTAATATCCGTTGCGTAGTTTAAAAGATCTAAGCGAAAAGACAGCGGAAGCGACTACATTTTATACTATGTAAAGATAGAAAAAGTTTTGTAGGAAAAAAAACGAGACAAATTATTATTCGCTGTCGAAAACTCATTAGAAATTCAAAGTGAAATTGCTGAGAAAAGTTGCGAGTTGTAGGATCGTTTCTTTTTTTTGTTTATTATCGTGAAACAAGATTTTGTTTAATACTTTGATGACCTCGTTGGTATTGTTGTATTGGTATGGTTTAGTAAATTTATGTCTCAAAAAGTAAACTAGAAGGCTTGAAATGGAGGTAGGTGAGAGGGGAGAGACTGACGTAGTCACGGTTAATAGCTAGCTATCTTAATCTAAATAATATTATGAACGCGAAACTTTGTGAGTATGGATGTTTGTTACTCTTTCACGCAAAAACTACTAAACGGATTTTCATGAAACTTTGCAATAATATAGCTTATGCATCAGAATATATTTTTATGGAAATTTAATGGGGATGAAACTGCGGGTAAAGCTAGTTATTAAATAAATTCAACTAATAGCCGATCAGATCAGTCGTTGTAAAACTAGCGAAACTGAACGTGTTGAATCCTAAAATAACGTTTATTTTAAGAATCAATACCTATATTCATTGTATGTTCTGAAAAGTACTTGACCTGATTTAAATTTGGATACAGGGTTTTTGTTGGATGTAAATCACTAAATATAATAATAACACTGGGGAATACACTGAGAGCCATCCAGTCCCAAGCTAAGCAGAACTGATACATGTACCGAAATACGTTATTTTTGTAAATACATACATTGACATATAGTATATCGACACCTAAACCAATTCAAACACACTCACTAATACACCATAATATACAAATTTATACCGTGCGAGGAATCGAACCCGAGACTATCGGAAGTCAAGCGATGTGCTAAACCACCATCGAGGTCATCACCGTTGTGTAGTAAGTGTTAATGAGTTATTAACGGTGACATTGTTTGTAACGGAAAGTACCAGGCCAAGTACCAGTGTCGTGATATGCTATTTATATCTCAAATCACGGCGTGTGGTATATATATACCACACGCCGTGATTTACACAGTACATATAGTATATATAGTATATATACATATAGTATATACATATAGTATATATACATATAGTATATATACATATAGTATATATATGTATATATGTATCAATAGTATATATGTATCTATACATATAAATAAACTTGTAGTGTCTGTTCGTAATTTTAAATTAACAGCTTTTCACCAAATGCATATTAAATTAATACATTAAACTACGTACCTGTCTGTTCTTCTTGTTGTAATGCGACCACAATTAATTTAATATTCAGTAAGACCACAGATAACATAACATTACATAGTGACACTATAGACTAATATTATTCAAGATTAGCTGAACACGCGACTTCGTCCGCGTGGAATTTAACTTTATTTTTCTTAAATCTTTTTTTTATCTAAAATAAAGGTAGCCTGTGTTACTCCTTATTGCCTCAGCTAACTGCCAATAAGAGTCCCGTCAAAATCCGTACAGCCATTTCAAAGATTAGCCGGAATAATCAGACAGACAGACAAAACTTATAAAAAAAAAAATATTTTGGTATATGTACCGCATTTATATTCATATGCATGTAGTAAAAAACGGTTATTTCAATATTACAAACAGACACTCCAATTTTATTTATATGTATAAATGTATAGATAAACAATATTAATCTATTCTCAATTCGACCATAGATTTTAACAATAAACAAAAGAGTATATATGCTATGTGTGTCAAATGTATGGTAGTGTATGTAATATTTTTTTTATTGATATACGTAATGCATTTTTATGCCCAATTTACACTCAGCCCGAGTGGGCAGGGAAGTGAGCAGCTTGAGAGTTTAAATACGAGTGGAAGCATTTTCCATGCCATTCGCGCTGACCGGCGCTCCCTCGATTGTCTGTTTTTTGTGCGCAAGTAAAAGGACTGGCAGCGCGAGTGGCAGCGTGTTTTTACATTCAGCCCTCTCGCTCAGATGTCGCCCGACAATATTTCCGGCAGCGCGAGTGGCAGGGGAAGCGGCTGAATGTAAACGTAGCATTATACATAGTTAAAAAAATATTAATATTCCGACTCATTGTTCCTCTTATATATATATATCTCCTATAACTAAATGTTCTCAAAATTTCATACTCACCCGTCCGTACAATTTTCATAAAAAGGATTACAAAGTTTTTGACTTCACGTATTAATATATAACATATTAAATTGTACTACTACTATACAGTAATTTATGAAGTTAATATCTTAAGACATGTTTATCAAAGTCCTTGATGTATATATAACTATGTCAACAACCTATAGAAATAACAGCAGATAATATTTACAACGTGGTTTATATATAATCGTATGTAGTGTTTACATTTTTATCATATGTGATTATTTTATTGTTTTTTTTTATTTATTAATTATTAACAATATAGTATAATGCCGATTAATTAGTTCATTGAATTGATATGATATATTTGATATATATTATAGGAATTTAAGTTTTTGTTTATTGAAATGAATGATAATTCTAAAATAAAAGTACCCCCTTTTAGGAAAATGGCGCGGACGGAAGTGTACGATATTTAGCATACTTGTAGTTTATATAGAGGAGTGCAGAACGCTAATATTTTTGTTAAAAATTATGCATGGAAATTACATTAATACAATAAGAAAAATATTACATACTCTACCATGTACTCTTCGATACACATATGCATATACTCACTGTTTATTGTTAGCTAGCTACTCGCCCTGGCTTCGCATCGGAATGTACATATATCTAAATATATATCTATCAACACACAGTCCAAACCACTGGACGGATCTGGCTGAAATTTGGCATGCGGCTAGATAGTATGACGTAGGCATCCGCTAAGAAAGGATTTTGGTAAATTCTACCCCTAAGGGGATAAATTAACGGGAGCAAAGCCGCGTGAAAAAGCTAGTTATATATGTATAAACCTTCCTCTTGAATTATTCTATCTATTAAAAAAAACCGCTACAAAATCCGTTGCGTAGTTTTAAAGATTTAAGCATACATAGGGACGGACAGACTGCGACAGCGACTTTGTTTTATACTATATAATGATAAAGAAGTCTGTGGTATTTAGTGTTCTGTTGTTTATAGTCTTCTGTTGACTTTCGACCACTGGCCGATCATTAGTATACATAAATATGCTACGATTAGCTGCTGATTTTAGGAGCTGGATAAAAATGATCCAAATAAATAATGTCGTTGATGGACTATGTTTGACATCCATGTTAGTTTCCGATTACCACACGCCAGATTGATTGATGATTCTCAATCTTGATCGTGATAAAACATGGCAATATTATTCGATAAATGTTGTAGAGTCGATCAATCTAACATAGAACGCGAGATTGAACTGCAGATTGAAACATAAATTTAAATTGTATTTATGATTTTTAAATTCGCGTATATATATGTACATTCATACACGAAAACAAAATCTTTTGTATTTGATCTCCTGCCGTTTTATGATTGAAAAAATATACGCCTATTGTTTTATGTAATGCTTTATGGCACCGGCATTGTTCAAAATTCAAATTTCTATATTTGGGTAACACAATTTTTACTTAATTTTATATGGTTGTTGAGGTCTCCTTTTATGTATAGAAATGCTAGTACCAATACTACATTTATAGAAAGCGTTTGTTATTTATTCGATTAGCAAACAAGTAAAGGTAATAATATATGTGGCATAAAACAGCTTTTTTTTTCTTATTTTTGCTTTAGAATACGAAAAAAACATGCAAAGTTGACAACAAGTGTTGCTTCAGCTGTTACTGATATAAGCACTCAGTATTGGTTTTCAGGCAATGATATTATGGGGTTAAGCAGGTATAATCTCATTATGCTTTAAAAAAACCGTTTGCTGAGATGCAAGGCTTGGAATGGCTTCAGCGCGTCGAGGATTATGAGTATTATTTCCTACAAATGTTCTTGTTTTTTTAGTAAGACTTCGTTTTATCAAACTAATTAAATAGCAAAATATTTGTAAACTGGTTCTGCGTACCACATCTCTAGCGACGGTTCAGGAATTAGAAGCAAATGCCAAAATCTTATATATAAAATTCTCATGTCACAGTTTTCGTTCCCATACTCCTCCGAAACGGCTTGACCGATTCTCATGAAATTTTGTGAGCGTATTGAGTAGGTCTGAGAATCGGCCAACATCTATTTTTCATCCCCCAAAATTTAGGGATAGTACACCCCTAATTTTTTTTTTATTTTTTAGACAAAATTTTTAGTTTCTTTTTTTTATTATAACAAAAAAAAAAATACATAAAAACCAAAATTTTAACCCATAAAAAATAAACCCCTATTTTTTATATCGTTATTAATTTATATGGCAAAACAACGTTTGCCGGGACAGCTAGTAATATATATGATTTTGGCATTCGTTTCTAATTCTTAAACCGTTGTAACATGTACCCAGTATAGCTTCGTGTCATTTTATTGTACATTTGTGTAGCATGACTTTAGAATCGTTTAATAATGATTATATACTGTGCTAATAATTATTATCTACTGCTACATTTTCACGATAAGTCGGTATCTACCTACTTAATGTTTATTATTTTAGTACCTACTAAATTATTTATAGATGGATATTTAGTAATAAGAACGTCTGAGAAGGATGATCTCGAACGATCCCACTTTTAATTGCTAGTCAATTTAATAGATTGTGTTTTAAGTGATTTAATTTGATACCCATTCTTTCAGCTTTCTGTATATATTTGTAAACTATTTCATTATGCAGAGAGTGTTTGCGACATACCTCTTTTTATTTTACTTTATTTTTGTCACATGTTTTTTATTTATATATGTATGTGCGCTTATAATATGTTACAAATGTCATATAGCATTTTCTGTTCTTTTCAGACAACAGAAAGCGGTTGACGTGCAGTGGTGGAAAAGGACAAATATATAAGTATAATTTCTGTTTTTATTTTTTTGTTTTTCTATTCAGTTGTGACAAAATATACTTAATACATACTGTAAACGTTATTTTTGTGCTGAGTTATTATTTATTGTCAATAAAGACATTCAGCAGCTGTCCAGTTGTTTAAGCCAGTTTGTTTATTCATTATCTATATAAAAAAATCTGGTACTAAAAATATATCTGCAGATATAGTTTCAATCTTTCAGAATAATACATTAAAATGAAAAAAGAAACAACAGTAAAAATAAAAAACAGGGAGTAAATACTTACTTAAAAATAAAACAAACATAAAAATGTGTTCACACAATTAAAACTTCACACATCATTACAACTCACACATTAACAACACTTTTTAATATATATATTTATGTTAACAGTTCAAATGCCGAAGTACAAATCGATCAAATGATCGCAATCGATCGTATCGATCTAGAATGCAGACTAGCGGCGTGCACTCACGTGCGGCATCGAATACTGACGGTTGTACTGAGCGGGTGGTATCTGTATAAATAGCTGCCAGTGGACGAAGCAAGCTAACGTTCTAATGATAGTAGGGTGTCATTTAGACCGTATGATAATTTATGTTGTCACAAAAAAACGAATGACGAATTTTGTTTATCGTACACAAACTTAAATTCCTAAGCATTTGTTTATAAAAAAACGTGTATTGTGCAGTTCGGTGAACACGTACATATAAGTATCAGTGCTATATAAACGTTCAACCGGTGAAGCTGTAAAGACCAGCTCCGGCCAATAGCATTAGAGTAATGTATATATATATAAATGTGTACATTTCAATAAGAGTATGCAATTTATCACATAAATGTCTATGTATCTGAATTCAATTGTTCATATTTAAACAGACTACGACAAGATTACTAATTTAGCAGACATAAAAAAAATGCATTAATAAACATAATACCGATTCAAACAAAGCAAAGCCAATAAACATTTACTTTATGATAGAAATTTAAGAAGTATGTATACGCTGCTTTATGTTTCTTTATTTTTGTTATTCGAATTTTAAATTCCATTGTGTACTTTTACAACACACATGCTACATAATGAAATATGTAAATTTAAATTTAGAACTGTCAGTAGGTCAGCAAAATATATTTTAACAGTTGCTGTTTGTATTACAATTGCATGTGTATTTATTTAATTACAAAGTTATAATTTTATTTGTTTTATATTTTATTGTTATATATTAGTGTTAATAAATAACAAATTATTGTCGGTGGTATTATATTTATTATTTTAGAAAATCACGCGAATTACATCTGAAATGTATCCTGTGATAACATATGTATATACATATATAGGTATATGTAATGGTAAAACATATTAAATTATATAGTTACATAGATATTCTTTGTATTTTGATATTTATAGGTAGTAATAACACTGAATGAAAATAATTATATTAAACTTGAGTAATAACTATTATTAATTATCTGTATTTATACATATATAGTAATTATTTGTAATTGTGTTGTTGTAATTGTTTGTATCCCAATACTCGATTGAAAAAATATTCGAGATTCGATTACGTAATGTTACACAATTATTGTTTGAAACAGATTGAAATTGACAGTTTTATGATTGAAAAAATACAACCGTCTTGCTGATCCGCATGTCCGTTGATGGGTTGACGGCAAAGTATTAATAACACCGCAAGTAGTGTGTGTCACATGCGTAGCGGCGACACTATGTTTGTTTATAAAATATTATGTACTTATCAACAATACTATATGTATATCAATCATATGCTCTTATATACCTGTTTTATTATCATATAAATAGATAGAAATAATATTTACTCAAATAATCCTAGTGTAAAATTGAATTTTCATTAAAATCAATATTAACTCAAACATTATACTAATATACTTATAATAAGCTAGACAGTGGTCGGTAAGAATTTTTAGGTGGGAATATTTTAACGAGGTCCAGAAAAAAATAACTGATAATAATTAAGTGCTATTACAGTATTTATTATTATTTATTATATAGTATTTATTATTTTGGACAAAAATTCTAATTCTGAATTACAAATATGATGCTTCTGTCATCTAAGAGTCGGTCAGAAATATAAATTGACACACAAATTTTTTTGTCGCGACCTTTGGGGTCTATTGTAAGTGGGGTTACTAAACCATTAGGTCAAGACGCGCTGGCGATTTTTTGCGACAATATTTGTTTAATATCTACTTATCAATATAGTGTTGCACATTTAATCTGTAATAAAATCAATTATGGTCATGACCTCTATAGATATTAACAATAATAATATCTTGAACAATTCACACAGCGCCATCTAGTCCCAAACTAAGCAGAGCTTATTATATATTGTTATGGGTACTATACAACTGATAGATATACTTATATAGTTGTAAATACATATATAATATACATAGATAACACCCAGACATATACAAACCGTGCGAGGAATCGAACCCGTGACCGTCGGAAAAAAAGTGCCGTGCTAATCCGCTAGACCATCAAGGTCGTCATAATATCCAAATGAGAAAGTATATTATACTTAGACTAGACATGCTGATATCTCCCACAGAGAAGCTGTAAAAAGTTCCTCGGTTACATAGTCTCAATTACTTCTGCCACCAAGCTGCTTGTTTTGTAAGCTTTGTTTCAGTTGTAAAGTCAGATTAAATAGTGAAATACATGAAATATACATCTCCATATCCCAATGGTTTTCAGGGGGGACCGTGTGGAGGTCGATTTGCTAGTAATGGGAGCACTGTACACCATTATTAACAATCCCATGTGCTAGTAGTTATAACGACGTCCGTTTGTCACTATTGTGTATCTTTATAAGCAATTGAGTTATTTATTTAAACGCCGAGTGAAAGCATAGGACGTTGCTTGTACATTTTGTCGGTGAATGGTTTTTATAAATCTAGTATGTATTACCACAGATAATATAATATTACATAGTATTACTATGCAGGAACTAAGCACAATGCTATCCGCTATATACTTACTCGGTAGCGAAAAAATTATATTATAAAAAAAATTACGTTCATAAGTGGCAAAAATGTCCTACTATGATACGTAAATGTCCTACATGAATAAATTATTTTTGAATTTGAAATTGAATTACTATTTTTTTTTTCCTTAAAAAAAATAACATATACGTATATATTAATGAAATACTTATATAGTAATTTAATTAATAGTTACATCAGAATAAACTGTAGTTACCTAGTTTTTTTTTTGGAATACTGTTGTTATAAATCTATTGATATGACAACACTGTACCTATTAGAAAAAAAAACTTCTGATGCAACTATTAATTAGATTAATAATATATGGCCCTTTTACTATTCGCTCTAATTTATTGGGCATTGAGATACGAAAAAACATATTATAATTTTTGGGCAATTAATCTACTACATAATAACGTGTTTCAAAATATTATACTTCAAAATCGTGACCTATATATCCATACAAATTTTATAGTTACAGAAAGTCTTTCTGCTTGTTTGCCACGTTTTCATAACAGTACGGCTGGATGTTAATTAAATTTATAGATAAAAGTAATATCACGAAATCTATCCAAGTGACTTCTGTGATCTATGTTCACATCTGCCTTTTATAAAAAAAAAAGAAGAAGTCCCGGGTGAAATAGGTAGTTAATTATATTTCATTATATACATATAGTGTTTATTATACCTCATGTAATTGTAAATAGCACAGGTACAATTTTTTCTTATATAGAGGTTTAAGCTATTACTCGGTGTTTTAGACCTGTAGCACTGCGATCTGTGTACAGAGATCTGTGCTCGCTATTTTTTTCAGAGTTCCCTACCTAAGCCGTCAGAGACAAGAATTGAAGGATATTCTTAGGAGTGATGGTTGGTATTTATCTTTATAGAAATAATGAGTGCGTAGCGATTTCTATGTTGATTATCGCATGCCTCTTACTTGTTATACAGTATTATTTATAACAAAATAATGTATTCAAAAGAGCAACACACAAGTTTGCTCATTCTTCTTGTGACGAATCTGCATTCCGAATGAGTGATAGAATCAGAATATGACTATTCAAAACTGCTTGTAATGAGTTTATTTGAATAAAGATTATTTCTATTTCTAGAATGGTATCTTGAGGAGATAAAAATCATTACATAATCATAAAACTATTAAAATTAAATAACTAAATTAACACTGGCTGTTTGTTATAGAACTCCATATGACTAATCCTTTGTATTTGAGGGGGGGGGGGAGGGAGATTGTAAAGGTCAATAGTAGCTATCTGTGTTTCTTAATGAATTCATTAATTAGTTAAATTAATTTATCCATTAACTGTAAATGACATTATTGTTTCGAACTATCGGCTAGCTGAGTTTTACCACTGTCCATTTAGAATCAGAATAAATTAAAAATATATGAAATACTCCGAATAATCCTTACTAATATTATAAATGCAAAAGTAACTCTATCTGTCTGTCTGTCTCGCTTTCACATCAAAACTTCTGAACCGATTTAAATGAAATTTGGTACACAGATAATCTAGACCCTGAGAAAGGACAAGACTACTTTTTAATGTAAAAAAGGGTTGTAGGGGGGATGAAAGGTTGTATGGAAGAATAGTCATTTTTGAAGCTAGTAGATTGACACTTATTTTTGAGGCTGTTGATTAAATACTAATAAATATGATATTCAAAGTTTTTGAAATTGTTACCATTAAGGGCTAAAAAATTGAACCTAAAGGGGATTGAAGGTTGTATGGAAAAACGTTAATTTTATTAGCCATTTTTGGGTTACATTATTGAATATTTTTTCTTTGTTTGGTCGAGGTCACTATAACACGCGGACGAAGTCCCGGGCACAGCTAGTGAAATATAATTACACAATTGCGTATATTAATAGTACCGTCAGCCACAGTGGTGTAGTGATTTAGCACATCTTCTGATGGTCGCGGTTTCGATTCCTCGCGCGGTACTTATGTTTGTATTCATGAGTATGAATTTGTATCGGTCTTGGTGATCCTATGTACATTGTGTAAAAGAAAATAATATATATGTATTTGTATCTCCTGCAAAATTATTTTGGTTAATTTCTGGTGATTTAGTTACGTACCTTCGTCTAACATGGAGCTATTTTTTAATTAAAAATGGCTCCATGTTAAACGGCTTGTCGAAACTTGGAATCTGACCAAAGATAAAGGAATGCCTCCTTCATATTTATTATTACCAAATTTTTAGAATAACCCTAGTCTTATCCTTTAGTATGTACGTAACTTAGCTTCTATTAAGTATAGAAGCTAAGTTACGTACATATGTAATCAATCTGAGTAAAAATGTAGCGATTACTTAAAGTGTTGATGGTTGATCCTGGGTGCAGTAACTTGTTTTCCAAATCGTGACTACACACCAAATCTATTGTATTTGATTTTATACTGTACTGTTTAAGCTTACATATGTACACACAATAAAATTACAAT